TTCGACTTAACTTTTATTTAGCGTTTATTGTTCTTCAGTGTAGTTTTCACTATGTTAATTACAATTAACAAAAACTAGCGGTTTTACAATTTCAGCAATTTACTAAGTAAGCGATTTTTAGCGCTTTAAAATATTTCGTGTGTTTAGTGCGCCTTTTTGACAACGAGAGGTGGTGTGATCTTTTAAGAACCGCTTTTTATAGTTTTGTATGTATACTACAAGTACAAGAATATAAAGGATATGAACAATAAAAGAATATGATAGCAAAAAATGTCGTTTTAAGTAAGAGTATACAAGAACTTGCAGAGAAACGTTGATAATATCGTAATGTGTAACGGTGACCAGGTTGCTTCGACTGACGGTGGTAACAATTCCCTCCCCCGTAAGCGAGTCCTATAGATCGAGATTGCTACTGGTTTTTCCAACGACGTCAAGCACCGCCACTCTGGCTGATGGTCGATTTAGAACACCGAATTGTGTTTTCACCGTGACACGTCTAACTTGTCCGTCACTAGCCACTACTGTGTCGATCACCTTTCCCTTGGGCCAACAGTTTCTCGGTAGATCGGGGTCAACAACGAGCACGATGTCTCCCGTACGAATAGGCTTCTGCGGTGTGAACCACTTGCTTCTTCTGGAAATTATTGGCATGTATTCTTTTAACCACCTTGCCCAAAACTCGTTTCCAAATTTTTGTGTATGGTGCCAACGTTGACGCAAATTTTTGTTGTCGGTGGCGAAAGGTTTGTAGCCATCTGAAGAGCCGATCAGCAAATGGTTCGGCGTTATAGCTTCGTCGTCGTCCGACTCCAAGGACACGAAAGTTAGCGGACGTGAATTAATTATAAACTCTATTTCCCATAGGGCACTCCTCAAGCTTTCGTCGTTGAACTGCATAGATGGGGACATAGCAAGTAGAACTGTTTTAATAGATCTTATTAGCCTCTCCCAGATTCCGCCCATATGTGGCGCTCCCGGTGGATTAAATCTCCACTTTATACCGTCAAAGGTAGAAGAAGCTTTTTGTTGATCGACGTTCTTAAACTCGTCGCGTAAGACTTTTTCTGCGGCTTTAAAGTTCGTTCCATTATCAGAAAATACTTCTCTTGGTGTACCGCGTCGAGCCATGAAATTTCGAAAACACATTATGCAGGAACTTGTATCGAGGCTATGAGCTACCTCGATGTGAATTGCTCAAATCGTGAGGCAGGTGAACACTGCACCCCAACGCTTTTCACGCCTGCGACCGACAGAGACGTGAAGTGGCCCGAAATAGTCCACACCAACGTATGTAAAGGGTCGTTCAAACGCCGCTAGTCGAGCAGCCGGTAACGCTGCCATTAGAGGAGGACACGGTGCCGCTATGGAATTTTTGCATTGTTGGCATAATCGGCGTACCTTTTTATATAGAACGCGCAAACGTGGTATGTAGTAACGACTTCTTAGCGTATTGATTGCGGTTTCATGTGATTGGTGATGCAAATCCTCGTGAATGGAGCGCACTATTAGAAATGTTATGTGGCTTGTGCTGGGAAGCACAATAGCATCTTCGTGGTTGTTAAGAAACTCATCTCTTCCTCTGCTTCTGATAACGTCATTTTCATCTAGGTAAATATTCAAACCGATAAGTTTACTTTTAGTTCCAATAGCCACGCCGTTTTTTAGTTTCTTACGCTCTTGTTCGTATTCAGTTCGCTGGGCGTGTTGCATAAGAAAGATTTTTGCTCTTCGTATCATCGTAGAGTCTACTGTTTGCGGTTTTATAGCAGATCTTGAAGCAGCTTCAAGTTTTTTTATGTATAAAATGAAAGTTGCCACCGCACGGTATAAGCGTTTCCAGCTGGAAAAATATTCTGCGTTCAGGGTGAAAACTTGTAACTTATCTATCAAAAGTACCCGACGTTTGAGCTCAGTCTCATCTACACGACAAAATTCATCACAGTGAGGCCAATTTATCGTGTCACCCGCTAAAAAATCTGGTCCATGAAACCACATATGCGTGTCGGATCGATGACATGTTTTAGTTGGTAAATCAGCAGGATTCATTCGCGTTGGCACCCATCTCCACTGTGAAACATCCGACGACTCAAGAATTTCGCCAACTCGGTGCATAACAAACTGGTGAAAATTTTTCGGGTCGATGCGTAGCCACTGCAGGACCGTCTTAGAGTCGGTCCACCAAAAACAAGCCTGTACACTTATGCGTGGAACTTTCAAGATGCTATTGGCTAGTCTAACTCCTGCCACAGCAGCTTGCAATTCCAATCTTGGAATCGAAACTGGCTTCAAGGGTGCCACTTTCGATTTTGCCGCGACAAAAGCAATATCTACGTTACTATCGCGCTGGATGCGTAGATAACTAACAGCAGCGAATGCAGCTGAGCTGGCGTCCACGAACGTGTGAAGCTGGACGTTATCAGAACTATGGAGTATGGTCGAGTAGCAACGAGGAACTTTTACATCCATTATGAGAGGAATATTCGACTTCCACGACTCCCATTTATCGTACAAAGCGTCGCTGAGAGCCTCGTCCCAACCAATGTCGGAACGCCACACGTCCTGCAGAAGTATTTTCAGACCTATGGTATGGACCGAAAGGAATCCTAGGGGGTCAAAGATTGACATCAGGATTTGAAGAATCTCACGCTTCGTAGGAACAATTTCTTCAGTCAGCACGCTACGACGCAGTCTTGCAAATTTACAGTTGAATCTGAAAACATCATTAGTAGGTTCCCAATACATACCTAAGATTTTTGTAGTGGAACCCCATTCTTTCAAAGCTGGCTCGATAGGATTGTTGCTAGCTAGTTGCTGTAGAACCTTGTGAGAGTTAGACACCCAGTTTCTCACCTCAAATCCAGCGTTCGCATTAATGCGTTTTACCTGCTTGGCTAGTTCGAGCGCAGTCTCTTCATCGCGCTCACTGTCGATGAAGTCGTCGACATAGTGGTAACGCTGCACCGCTTCAACTGCCCGTGGAAACTCATGTCGGAATTGCTCGGCATTGTTGTCTCGTATAAAATGCGCAATGCACGGAGCGCAGTTTACGCCAAATGTTAGGGCGCGCATTACATAAACGCTGGGTTGCTGCGGCTTGTCGGCTTCGTCCCACCATAAGAATCTTTGAGCGTGCATATCGCTTTCCCTAATGTTGATTTGGTGGAACATTTCAGCCACGTCACCACACACTGCTACTCTCCCTACTCGAAAGGATAATAGGACTTCCACGAGCGAGTTCAACAAGTCAGGTCCAGGGAACATAAAATCGTTGAGGCACACGCCATTCGCTTTTGCGGCCGCGTCCCATACCAGACGTATTTTTCCTGGCTTATTCGGATTCGTGACGGTGAATATCGGTAGATACCAAGTTTTGCTTGGTTGAATTGTTGCCTCAGCAGGTGACAACTTTTTCGCATACCCCTTCGAAATTAGGTTGTCTATTTGTTGCTGAATTGTTGATTTAAGAAGCGGATCTTTGTTGAATTTCCTTTCAAGACACATTAGCCGTTTGTATGCATTTCCATAGCTTTCTGGCAGCACGACGTCTTCGTTTCGCCAGAGTAATCCAACTTCATAACGATTGCTTACCTTCTTACAAGACGCATTTAGAATAGCTAGCGCCTTGTTGTCGTCGGCAGACAGAAGCTGCTTTGGCTTGGGTTCTTCTAAATTGAAATAATTTTTCACAGCTTCGTGCAGTCTTCTGAGACTTTTCTCGCAGTCGCAAGTGTGAACGTTCACCATAAACTCACGTGACTGATTAGCGTGACATCCTTGAAGCGTCCAGCCAAGTCTGGTTTTTGATGCAATAGGTTGGAACCACGACCCTTCTCGAATTTTAAGTGGCACAGCAAGTTTCCAATTGTCTGTACCAATCAAAATAGATGGCCTGGCATTTTCGTACGATTCAATTGGTAGCCCAGTCAAATATGGATATTTTTTCATTATTTCACCAGCATCGATCGTTTGTGTTGGAAGACTTAAACTCTCTACTGTGTGTGCATCAGTCAATTTGTACTTTCGACCGTTCGTAACACCTGGAATTTCTACAGTGGTTTTGAATGAATTATATTCCGTGCGGGTTGTATCACCGGTCCAACGTAAGCATAAAGGCTCCTGTACACCTTTGAGCTCCATCTGTTCGAACACACTTTTTTCCATTAACGTAACTGCAGAACCCTCGTCCAGAAACGCAAATGTTTCTATAACTTTATTATGTGAGTATAATTTGACAGGGATTATTCTGAAATATGGGCTATTTTTTGTAGCGCTGCTGCTGTGCGCGATCATCTGCCTGTTGGCATGATCACTCGGAATATTGCTGCTGCGAACAATCTGCCGAGAATTGATGTTGTTGTCTGCGCTGCTGTCGACTGTTTGCGATGCGCTTCTGTGTAATAATTGATGGTGCTTGTACTTACAACCAGTGATACCACATTCTTTGTTTACGTAACATTTACGGCGATGCGAGTCCAGACATTGACGGCAAAGACTATGTTCCTTGACTATTTCCCACTTACGTTTAAGAGGCAAGGCTTTAAAGGCTTCGCAACGTGGCAGCTTATGTCCATATGTTTTACATACACAACATTTTCTGGGTAGTGAGTTGGTTTCGCTTCTCTGGTCGGAGACATCTTCAGCGCGAGTGTGTGTATTTACGTTTACACCGGATTTGTGTGTCATAGGTGCTACAACAGTGCTTGCTGCCTCGGCGATATTATACAGCCAGTCACTGAAAATCTTCACTATAGGTACTCGGTCGTCTTTTGGCTGCATAGCCCAACTCAGCTTATAACTGTTTGGCAGCTTATCCACTAACTCTTTTACTAATAATGGATTCACGAGATGTGCAGTCAGGTTACAACCTTCCATTGTTGCACATATATTTTGTACGCATAAGGAGAACTCAATTAAAGATTCTAACTTATCTTTAAGTGGCGCCATATTTTTGGCCTTATTAATTGCGCGTTCCAAAATATGTTCAGGTCGGCCACAACACATACGTAGGGTCTGGATAATCTCCGGCACCATAGCAGGTAGAAGCAACTTATTTTTTACTAAATCTCGTGCTCTGCCTTTAAGACATGCCTGTAGTCGCATAAGATTTTCTACATTCGAATATCCTGCAACGGACGTACTATTCTCAAATTGGCTTATAAAGAGGGGCCATTCCTCTGGGTCGCCGCTGAAAATAGGCAACTGCTTCGGAATAGAGTGTCTAGCTGCAAGCTGTGCTGGTGTGGGGGTCACGTTAAAGATTGGTATACGATCACCCGAATTCGTCAACTCACCAAATTGTGCTAATATTTTATACTTGTCGTCTAAATACTGTTTTTGAATGCGCATTTCCTCCTCTAGGCGTTCTAGCTGCAGTGCTCGCATTCGCTCAGATGTATCCGAATTTTGACTACCCTTTGCAAATATTGACGGGTTTGCAACTTTTGCGTTAGTTTGCAGCGAAGGAAAAGTGGTTGAAGATGTCGGCAATTTTTGTAGAATAAAAGAGTTTGGCAGTAAATGGTTCTTACTGTTTTGCGTATACATTGTTGCGGGATAACCTGATGCGCTCGACAAAGTATATAACTCAGTCGTGCTGCTTGACGACTGAAAACGTATTTGATCATGTAGTGTCACTTCCAATGCTGCAGTAGAATATGGTGGTACACTTGCCGATGTGGTCGACATCCTCGGAGCTGTGTATATGGATGGAACCATAACCGTTGACTGAACTGGTATTGAGCTTAGAGCGCCCAAGATTGCCTGTTGACTTTGATGTGCCGCCTCGGGTGACGATGATGCTCTTGGCTGACCCGTAGCAAGTGAACCCCCGTTATTCGACCCATTGGGTTCCATAAAAGCTGCTGCCATTTGGACCGATGTGTGTTCGCATGATTCGCAGTTCCAACTAATATCGGCCACTTGGCTGTCAACACCGACACAGCTATAGTGAAACCATTGGTCGCAGGAGTCACATTGCACCATTTGCTCATTGTCTCTAGCTCTACAGTTTCGGCAATGGTAATCCGTACTTGTATCTTTTATGCTGTGCATATTATAGTAGCGGAAGTTATTTTGCCCGAAATATTTTAAAGAATTGTTAGCGCACTTGATTAAAAATACGAATTTTCAATAGCACTACTTCGACTTAACTTTTATTTAGCGTTTATTGTTCT